TTGATGAAAATATTGAATCAAACAAGCAGCCTCCTTGCACAAACGTCTCTTTTTCAGTGCTGATGGAAACTATTTTTCCCTGAGATTGTGTTCGTTGTGGAAAAAAACACCTATAATACCTTCCCAGCTTCGGATCGCCAAACGTGTACTGACGCAATACTGATGACATTCCCATTCACTGGATACGCCCATTTGATATGAAAGAGTGTGCGAGCCAAATCGTTTATTACCTGTCAACCATTTCACATCAAACAAAAAAGAGGAACACAGGAGTCGCGTTTGCTCTCAAACTTCGTCTTAATTGTGTTTCGACCCAAAGGTTGGCGGTTCCAGTCCCGTGCAGGACAAAAACACACTGGGATAAGTTTAACCCCAGGACAAAACCACTACTGTTCAATGCTCTTTGCTGGCCATCACAAACAAAATTCCATAGCACCTTCTATTCGCTGAACCTTGGTAACTGCTGCACTTAGTCAAGGGTTTACTGAACCAAAAAGGAGTGTAGCTAAAATTGAATCGAGTCCAGATGCAACAGAAAGACCTACACTTAGACAAATGAGATCTGTGAACAGATTTAGGCTCATACCTTGTAATCCGCTTTCTTCTCAGACGCATTTGGTCTGCGGCCACGCTCTCGTTCAAAACGGCGTTCATAATCACGAATAGCCGTTCGAATCACGTGCAGTCGTTGGGTCAATTCGGAGAGCACTTTTGCCGGACTGTTGATGGACCCGTTGATGGAACCGCGTCGAACGCGTTCCGAATCCGCCTTGATGAGATGGTACAACCGGGGATGGAAATGTGAAAACACAATGCAAGTCGTGTTCCCATTAGAACAACAAGGCATAAGAAGGATGACCCCATTCGTGACACAACTATACGAACACACAGACTAAAATGTGCTGACCGAACTTTTAGTCAAAATATTTACCACGAAGGTTGTACGGATGAATGCTATTGAAGGGAGGTACACTCATGAATTTGGCTTCGTTTGGAAGCTCAAGTATGGTCGGAGGTGGGTGTCTAGGATTGCGGCTGGTCACCTTTCTCTTGCACCTCTCTAAATGCCCCCAAACGACCAAATAGCCTCAAACAGCCTCTGCTGAGGAAGCCTTACACACTGTCTTCTCGTGACGGAGGTGTTTTCCACCAAAGTGAGAGGACGAAAAGACGACATCCGGAGCTATAACCGGGTTGGTTGACCACTGGTAGTTCACCTAGAGGAGTTGGCCAAAAACCCTGATTCCAAACTAACCATGGGGAGACGTACGAACCACACAAACAACCTCCTGCTTGCGGTAGTGGTCACCGACTCGTTTGGGCATCTTGGACGTTTGACCCCATTTAAAGGGTGTGTGATCCAATGAACTGGATGCCGGCCCCCAAGGAAAACCACATATTTCTCATGATTGGAACGTCAACGAGAGAGAGAGGCCCCGTTACCTAATGAGACCGCTTACCTCGATCAATTGTACCGATCGGATTCGAGGGGACCTTAGCACAGGAAAGGTTTATCAACTACCCCGCCGGATTGCACAAATGTGTCTCTTTACAGCAAGCGAAAGAACGGCATTTAGAGAGTATAAGAACGTCAAGTGCAGCTTTGATGCCGACAAATAACTAATGTAAAGGTAAAGTTGTACTTTCTGTGTCCGTAGTTGCTTGCTTCGATGAAACAGGTAGATAGCGACAAAAATGGACGACAAGCTCAATTGATGATTAGTTGATTGATTGATAACCGATACCACAGGATATTATCTAACAAAAAATCGAATGATAAGCGTACTTCCTGTTATTAAACAGACAATAGTAGCTTTCACGGAGCGAGGAACGGACAATTGAAGAGCTTTGATGGTCACCGTATAAAGATCGGTTGTTGTGATTTCCTCCAGTTTGAAAGTAGATCGGGAAATCTGGGTGTTCCCAGAATTTTGGAGCACATTGTACGAGGCGATGCGGAACAGACTTGTCTCTAGTTCAGGGATAACCTACTGATGAAGGACCAGTGACCCAAACAATGATCAAAGAAGCAAAATGGTCAGCGATTGAGTAGTGACAATCGACGAGAACGCTTTTTGTGACAATCAATCAGATTGGATATTGCGCTCGTCTAACTGGCGGTAAGAGACAGAGTGAGTGGTATACTGGGGCTTATCCTCACGTGACACGCACGACTAATGGTGATCCTCCTTTTTGGTACTTACAAATCATTTATCACGTGACTCGCAGGGTCTGGTCCTATAAACTCGGAAAACTGCACGCCGGGGGTCAAATCTATTTGTGCAGTCACATGATCAAGTAAAAAGTTGTCACCAGGCATTCCGATGTAGATCAAATAGCTTAATGAATGGTACGTCACCAGCAAAGGTTTAATAATTCAATTTATCCCCATGGTCACAGATATACCATTTCACTAAGAGACGAATATATCCAAATTCATGAACAATGGAACATTCATTATCTTTTGTATACGAGGAACCCGTAAAAGGCAAATTGATGGATAATTCAACCTTGTAAAACCATGGCAGCTTTAGAAAACCGGTGGAAAAAATAACCCGGGAAATTATTAATGAGCTCAATTATGTTAATCCAAACTTTGGTGGTTATCGATTTTCACTGGTCAGTATGAGCCTTCCCAAATAACGATGTATAACGACGGGGATAGTTCGGAACGAAAACTATCCGCCACCCCCTGGATTAACGAGATCTGTATCACGCTTCACATTGTCCTAATTCCATGTCAATATGAGAAGATAGTGCTAGATACATGTTTTTATGTCGCACAAGTCTGTGAGTTCAGACTGTGTGGTCAAACAAATCACGGTACAATAATCTCTATAACAAAGAAAAATGTTCCTGGTTTGCTAGTGGGCGCGATACGGCTAGGTTGCCCAGGCAAAAGCAGATGAATTTTCATGGGGAATCCACAACCGGAGAATTCGGCTAACAAAAGCGTGACCTGCAAGGCAGTAGTCCATTGGAAGTCGTTGTCCAGCTCATCGGATCACACGCCCTTTGCACAGGGTCGAACGTACAAGATGCCCAATACACCTCAATACCCAATCGAACCAGTGACCACTGCCGCAGCCAGGAAGGTGTGGGTGGGTGGGTGTAGATCGTATGCCCCTTCCTGATTGGTTTGGAGACACACAGACTGTGAACTTCAGATGATTGCTCATAATCGCTCCTGCTGAACGTCAGTTCACATTTGTTTGAATTATGCTCAGAATTCGTCAGTGTATCTAAGCGGCATGAATCAGTTTCTCAAACTGGGAGCTTTGTGTTTGTTCGAGGACATGGATCAATGTAATGTAAGGATGGATCGAAAACCGGACACCGAACAAATTAAGAAACTCCATTCCACAAGACATCCGTAAATCGCTGGATTTCTACACTATTCGAAATCATAAATAACTGCCAATTGTGTGCGAGAACGGAAGCGGAATGCCGCTTAGCGACAAAACGACGATAGCTCCTGCACCCGTTTGTTCGGGTTTTCTACACGTTCGATACGTCGATGTGCGCGGCTTGATCGGAAACGAGATTCCTCTAGAGTGAAATGAATGATATCATTATGAACACGGTTAAATTGATCCAAGAGCGCGTTGAAGGAATTTTTCCGGTTGGCCGTGAATTCAGTACAGTCTTCTAATTGAACCATAAGTATATTGTTGTTTGGCCTATTTGAAGTTTGTATGTCGACATTTTGAAAAGTTCAGTAACCTCGATGGTATTCGAACCCACTCACGGACGCCGCCTACGCTTTTGTAAAGCGCACGCTCTACCAGCTGAGCTACGAGGCCACACCGATAGAGCACTGATCTTTTCACATTCAAATTACGACCCATCCAACTTATAGAGGTATATGGCATTCACCAGTTGGCATGTAAGTCATAAATATATGTTAGCCAATAGAGAGAACAATGCTGAGCTCATAGATATTTCATCCTCGTAACAATATATAACACAACTTTTGAACTGAACTCGCATAAAACGAATCTTCTTGTTGACGTACCAGGCTCGTTCATTCTAATCAATTCAACCAAAGGGTTTCGGTTCATAGAAATGTTAACTCGACTCTTGTCAAATACAGAAGTGATCTTAATCGGATTAAATAACCGCCCTAGCAACGCTGTGCGTGCGGAAATCGATCACGGATTCCCCAACTTTCCCGTACCCATGTATATGCAATAACCAGCCAAAAAATCACTCACATTTTCCCCTCTCCATTGTAAACAAGTGGACAAGCTAACTTTCCATCTTACTACACTATTTCTCTCTGAGTAGGTAAACCATTGAAAGCACGCCTTTCCTGAATTTCCATGTTTTTCTAATGAATACCTTGGGCTTGTTTATTATTTCGAGGAATAACTAACTAACTATATCAGCTGTAGATTCGCGTTAATATCATACACAGCAATACTGAACGTCTGCAGATACAAATGACGGCAAATGTATTGAACCCATTCCACATCACTCACCCCGCCCCGGTTTTCGGACCCCATATTCACGATCACGATGGGTTTGGTGAATCGTGGCCGCAACCGTGTGTAAAGTGGAAATACGAACGTTTCATCAGACAACAGATATTGATCAAACTCGTGCCACATGGTTCGGATTTTGGAAATACAATTCAGTTTACAGTATCACACTTGTAATTGAGATGTATTTATCCCTGATTTCGTTTCCCACTTCTACGTTCTTACTTTTCTTCTATCCCCGTTTAAGTTGGCACGATCTTGAGTTTCTGTAGTGATTCTATAGCGTACGAGATGACGCACAACACGTTACAGTTTTCGGACAACTGTGATCAATCAAGCTTCACAGGTGACATCAGCAAAGCGCGTGTGTGGCACAGCTTCTGGACTGCAAACCATAGGTCAATTGTACCAACCAATCAGAAAACGTGGGGTTCAGACAGAAGCTGAAAAACACGAGTAATAAGAGCACGCGATTGGCAGAGGCTTGGATGACCAATGAACTTATTTTGTACATATTATTTAATCTCCCTGATTTTTCTCAAAAAGCGGACTGCCATTTCTGTGGCCGTTTCCTCGCGTCTCGTTTCCGTGGGACACCGTCGTGATAGTACCAGTGTGATCCAGTGCTTACGTTGCATCCGTGATTCGTAATTCGTGGTCAGTGCGTACTACGATTACTACAATGACCACAGATTAGCGTCGCGTGAAGGAACCTCCAACAATTGAGCAGCTAAACCTGCATGCCACCCATCTGAGATCAGGAAGTGTGTCGAATTGTGGTGCAGCATTCGCAAAGGTGGGGCACGAAACCAGTCAGCCTTATTTCTCACTGCGGCGGCGGCCCTGACCTCTATTCCCTGTTGAAAAACCTGGCGTGTCCTGAGGCTCCGGCTAAATTACCATACGAGTCCCTGAAAACGTTGGTGCTCAACCACCTGCTGCCCGCTGAGTTCCAGGCACATGAACGGGTTAAATTCAATTCTTTGACTCGTGCCAAGAATGTTACCTGTCGTGATTTCATTCTGCAGCTGAACAAACAAGCATCGCGTTGCAACTACTGTGATCGGTTGGAGGAACAACTGTGTGACCGCCTAGTGTCAGGCATAAACAGTCGGAAATCCGTAAGGAGACCCAGGCCTTGGGACGTCACAAAGCGCCGGGTTCCGATGGCCTTACCCCAGCTCTATTTAAAGATGGTGGAATAAAGCTTGTTAGAGAACTACACGTCTTGTTCTCTAAAGTTTGGATCACTGAGTAAGTCCCCTCCTTGTGGGAGGAGTCGATTGTCGTCCCCATCTTTAAAAAGGGTCCGCGCAATGATTGCGCCAATCATAGGGGTATAAGCCTGGTC